TCACTTTACAGAAAGTGAGAACCAAAGGTCCTCGGATACTGTGCTTTTGCCATTAGGCAAATGCTGAGTCAGTTACACAATACAAGAGATAGGACACAAAAGTTTAGTTTAATATTACTGTTAATTTGAAAATCTGTCCATATGTTAGTTGGGATATTTAGCTTTTCTCTAATAAAAAAGATATGTTAAGTCATTTGCCCTTTTCTGAACTGGGATGATTTTTTTTTCTTGTTTAATTTATACAAGTCTAAATATATATAAATATTAGTTATTTTGTCCATTTTATGTTCGTTTGTGTTTGGCTTCTTTTCCTCAACATTGTGTTTGTGAGAAACCTGTATTTTGGTATGTCACTGTAATGTTCATTCTTGTATAGGATTCAATTGTGACCTCTACTTTTTAAATGCCCCAACTCAAACTGCCTTAAACAATAAGGAAATGTATTTCCCATATGTAGGACAGACCCCAGGCATGATAACCAGAGCAGCAATGATGACATCAAGAAAGAGGTTTCTTCCATCTCTCTGTACAGCCATTCTTATGATCGCATGACAGCTGCCAAAGGAAATGGGACTCTATGCTTTCTTTCTGTGTCTAGCAAGTCAGAGGGAGAACCTCTCTTCTGACCAAGGAATATTTTCCTTTAGTCTCCTTGGGCTGTGTTTGTAAAGAGATACATTTCCATCAAGTAAGTAGGCAAAATTTTCAACGTATCTACCCTGCCTTCCCAAAATAATCTATCCATATGTCCCCAAGAATCCCACAGGTAAAATTTACAAAAACTTAAAGGAACATATAACTCCAGTGCTATTTAAACTGTACTGCAACACAAACAACAAAATCTTCTTATGGAATAAGTATAACCATGGCCATGATAAAGAGTGCAAAATTAGGGAACTACTGGACAATCATATCATGCTTAATAGAGAAAGCCAGAAGCATTCTTATTAAAACCATTACAATAGCTTATTTGAATAAGTCCTGGAATATAATGTACAGTGGGGTAACTATAGTTAACAATACTATATTGTAGATCTGAAAGTTCCTGAGAGTAGATCTTAAAAGTTCTCATCACAAGGAAAAAAAATTGTAGCTACGTGTGGTTGTTAACTTATTGTAATCATTTTGCAATACATACATACATCAAATTATGTTTGTCCTAAAACTAATACAATGTTATATGTCAATTATATATCAATTAAATTTGTTAAATAAATTTTTCTTTTTGACCTTGGAAAAGTTATTCATAGTCTTTGTTCATTAGTTTCCTTATTCATAAACAGGAGAGAATAATATTACCTAGAATTGTGATGCCCTTACTCTAAGTTATGGAGTGCTATATGTACATAGCTTGCTCAAGTTGTTAAATTGTTGACAAAAGAGTCTGAAGGATGCTAGGCTGAAACTTTCCAAGGTATCTTTCAGCTCTAAAAGTTGTGGAATGCTATTATATAAGAAACAAGATGAACAGAAACATTTCCCCCTCAAGTTATAAATCTAGATTTACATATGAAATAATGTTTACCAAGTATAGGCTCTTAAAACTGTGTTTTTTTATGACATATACACTATTCAGGGATAATTCATAATTTATAAGGATATCCTATGTAAAATGTAATAGCTGTATTTCCTTGCTTATTTCAAACAATATCTTCTGTTTTGCACTGTAAGGATGGTACAGAGGGGAATGAAAAGGTTGGACTTTTTTCAATCAATAAAGCAATCCCACAATATTTCTATTTTAAATTACATAGTTTCAAAAATGCTATACCAGGATATAGAAGTTCTTTAAAAAATTTAAGCAGATGTCAGCCTCTTTTAAGGGGGTTGTCCACTAAAATCTGTTCTCTCAGTCTTCTATAATAATGAAATTATAGGCAAAAGCTCTACAGCTTGACTATATTTCTCAGCCTCCTTTGAAGTTAAATGGGTAATATGATGAAGTTTTTTGAACAGAATGTGTCCAGGGGAATTTATGTTATTTTCAAATCTGGGCAAAGCTCTTCCAAGTTTTCTTTCTCTTGACCCTATGCTGAAAGCTGGATCTAAAAGTAACTTATTTCTACCATGCACATGAAACAATGACCCAGTGTAAGACAGAGGAACATTATAACAGGTTCTGAGACCCTGGATGACCATGTGGAGCAAAGATTCCTGACATCCTGAAGCCCCTGAATCAGACATATTTTGTAACAGAGAAAAAGGAATTTTCCACTGTTTTTAATTGTCAATGAATTGTTGGATTTCTTGGTTCTTAGCAACAGTTTTCACCATAACTAAAGGCAGATCCATTAAGTTTACAATACAAATTAAAAAAAAATAAAAATAAATTTAAAAAAATACAATAGTTTATATGTTTAAAATTCTAAAATCAAAGATAAAGTGAGGAGACCTGGAAAAATGAAAGGCCAAGGAAAACTTTTATCAGTCCCAAGTATGAAATAGGAGATAGATTGTTGTTCACATTTCTCCTTCAAAGAGCTTAGTTTTTTAGTAGAATGCTTATCATTCGGACAAGAATCAAGCACCAACAAACTCACTGTTGTCCCTTCTCAAATTTTCTCTAAAGCATGACAGATGTCTGAGAGTTTGGGTATACAAAAGGACTGTCTTACTAATAAGTTATCATGAAATAAGCAAAGATTAGATTCTGAACATGTAGATGAACAAAGTAGATTCTCAACATGAATTTTACAAGCAAAATCTGCTATACACTAAACACAATGCAGTTTAATTCTGATCATTGAGAGATGAAAATCTTATTTAAGCTTAAAATTTGAAATTTGAGCATGATTAATCCTTATAAAGTCAGAAGTGGTTATTATCTTAGTCCTTCCTTGGTCCATTATTTCCAGTGCATAAATATATGCATATACTGTCTATATCAGATGGATAAGATATATTTCAAAAAAGCAAGTTTATAGTAGAAAATGAGAATTTGTAATGATTAATAGCTAAACAGAAAGATTAATAAATTGTGTCATTCATATATGAAGATTTTGTGACAAATTCTCAGTGAAAATCTGTTCCTTTTAGCGAAACAGAGAATGATATTTTGGCAGTGGCATCAAAATCACACTAGTAATTATTTACTATGTACTGATCATTCAATTTATTTAAAAATTTGGTATTAGTTTCATCATGGCAATACTCCTAAACTGACAAACCTACGTCTAAGACTAAATGAGACAAAAAATGTTTTCCAGTATTCTTCTAATATGTTATAAATATTATAAATATGTTCAAGAAGTTTAGCAAGGATAACTTGTTCTATGATCTACATACATACTCATTCCATATTGTTTTGACTTATATATATGTTTTTATAGAGGAAAAGATAAAGTATGGTTTTGTGAATAGCAGCCATAGAAAATGGTGTTTAAAAATGCCAATTGTTCTCACTAAATTTGTTTGCTAACATGGCATATTTTTATTGCTCATTTCTATAAATTATAAGCCCTCTTCATTGCACAACAACAAATTATGAAAATAAAATGTCAAGGTATGATGATCTAAAGTTTTGGTTTATTTTAGATCAAAATAGATCCTACATCAAACTTTTCTAAAATCAACTTTACCCACTTCTTTAACAGGCATATATTTTGATATCACAAACATCTTTTATATTATTACATGATGCTTTATCAGTTATCAGCAGAGAATTTCAACAAAGTTGAAATATATTAGCCTTAACCCATCTTCTGGGACATTTTGGTTTCAGAATTTTTTTCAGGAATTACGCTTAAAAGTTGTCCTCACTTTTGTATATGTGTGCCTCATTCCTTTACAATTTTTTTCTCACATACTTACATTGTACATGATTTTAAGACAAAAGGTGCATAAAAACTATGTAAACTAAGTATTTTGCTTGCTTGTTGAAGATTCCCAATTTTGACACATGTGGCAAATTTTGATGCATTATTCCCTTATTATATAGGGTTTTACCTCCTCTATTTATTTATAAGGAGTGAAAAATGTCAACTCTTTCAAAGAATATATTTCTCTGCTAATATAGAGTCATAAAGGAACAAAATACAGAAAGCAAAGTGTCAGTAAAATATGCATTTATGACTTTCACATTTTAGATTGTAATTCTCATTGATAGACCACTTACTTTGATGCAGGCATTCTACATATAACATCTCAATAAAATTTTTATATTTTGAGGTAGAGGTTGTGCTCATTTTAATGATGAGAAAACTAAGGCTTGGAAAGATTAACTAATTTAAACCCAAAGTTACAGTTAAGTAGCAGTATGGCTGATAGGCTCTTTTCCTATTCTTCAATTCCTACTGCCTCCTAAAACTGTTTTCTTTCTTTCACTATTAGAAAATGAAGTAAAGCTGATAGAAATACTTTCCATATACCTAATTATCCTCACCAAGATTCTTCTTATATTTTTCGGTCAGAGGGGAAGATTTAAGTATTTACAACCAAATATCAAGTACCTTTAGGCAAAATGCACAAGGTGTCTTCAAAACCCAGGAACAGGTTCACCTGGGTGGCTCATTTGTTGAGTATCTGCCTTTCGCTCCCTTTATAATCCCAGGGTCCTGGGATTGAGCCCTGCATCAGGCTTCCTGCTCAGCGGGAAGCCTGCTTCTCCCTCTCCCACTCCCCCTGCTTGTGTTCCTTCTCTCGCTTTGTCTCTCTCTGTCAAATAAATAAATAAAATATTAAAAAAAAAAACAACAGCCCAGAAACAGAAAAATCACAAAACTACTTTCCCTGGTACCTTTTTTGTAATATATGTAATATATTTGAAACTTTTGGAATATGTCACAAATAAAACAAAATCTCTAACTTATGAAATAATTTCTAGCTCTAGCAAAAACTTATTATTTTTTTCTTCAACTGATATTTTCCATCACTTAAACACTATATTATACCTATGATTTTTATGAGGTACAATGGTATCCTCTTTACTTAGTTGGCAAAAGTGCCTACTCAGTAAAATGCAAAAAAGTGATTTTAGAACATTCGCTGTTGAAATCAACTACTTTTTTTTTTTTTTTTGCCAGTGAAACCACAATTGAGACTTAAATCACTGTTTGGATACTTCTGATATACAAATAATTCATAATTTCTTAAAAATTATTAAACAAAAGAAGGCAAAGTAGCTGTGCACTGACTATGCTCTAATACCTAAGATGTAATAAAAATAATGAAATAGTATTTAGACTATCTAATTATTTAAAACGATCACTTACATTAAGCAAAAATGGTAGCTTACAAAGAATAACTAAAGTCAAATATAAAACATGTAAAATTTATACATGTCATGTATATTTCTTAAACGTGTAAAAATGTCACACACTTCAAAGAATAGTCATGGGATGTTTCTAGGTTATTTTTAATGCATCAGATTTATTTACCAATTTAAAGGATCACTTATAGGCAGATATTTTAAAAACTTCCTGGGGTAAACAAATCAATATATTAGATGTTTAAGGACTGGAGCAGGGAGCAGACATAGAGTTCCTAAGTAATAAATATTACCTTTTTAATAAAAAGGTGGTACTTTAGTAATACTGACTCATAAAAGCATATGTTGACCACGTAAGAGATAATGGCTGGAGGTTTTAGGGGACTGAAGAATGAACAACAAATTCAACCAACTCAAAATGCATTATTCATTCCTCAAAGAACCAAAACAGGAAGAAAAAAAAAATAGAAGAGGTCCTCACAACACCCTGAAAAGTTCAGGCATTAGGAAGTGTTGACTGGCACCCATTTCTTGCTGTTGTAAAACCCGCCCCTCCGTTTCTAGGCCTCAACCCATGGAAACCAGCAGGGGCAAGAGGCAGGTGCTCTGCACTGTGGCGGATCCAGAGCGCCCGGCAAGCTCTCAACCTCAGCCGACCCTCCACCCCCCAATCCCCCCTGGGATGTGCGGGATGGAAGGCGGAGAGCGCAGTGGTCCAGTCCTGCGGCGGTGGGCCCAGGGCATTGCTAGATGGGGGAGCGGCGCGCGGAGAAGGAGGGGCCGCGTGAGGCCCCGCCTCTCCCCGGCCGCGGCCTCGGGCTACAGCCAGGGCTCGGAGGGCTCTGAGTCCGGGGCGCGCAGGCCTGACTCGGGTGCGCGCAAAGGCGGCTCATCCTTATCGCCACGCGGGCGCGGCCCCCGCTGCTCGAGGTGCAGCTGCAGTAGGGCCCGGCGGTACATGGCCTCCAGCTTCTCGAGCCGGGCCCTCAGGGCCCTGGGGCTGCCTGGCTCGTCCTCGAGGCCGCTGCCTCTCGCCCTCCGGTTCGTGCTGGCCTCCTCGGGGCCCGGGGTGGCCCTGGCCGCCTCTGCGGCCGCCCCGTCGCCAGCCTCGCCGGGAAGCCGCAAAGCCTGACGGAAGAGACTGCGGTTCTCGCGCTTCAGCCGCCGGTTTTCAAGCCGCAGCCGGGCGTTCTCTTCGCGCAGCCGCGCGTTCTGCCGGTCCCGCTCGTCCCGCGCGCGGATGGCCTCCAGGTGGCTCGCAGCCAGGTCGGCGAACCGCTCCTCCAGCTGCTGTCGGGCGCCGCCCGCACGGCCTCGCCAGCCCACGCCGCCGCCGATGCCGCCACCCCCACGAGCCCGGCCGGGACGGCCCTGCCCGCGGCTGTCCCCACCGGCGTCCCCACCGCCGCAGCTCCCGCGCCTGGTGGTGCCACCACGCATGCGCCACATCGGTCCTGTCCCAACCGCGCCGCCAGCGCCGTGGGCCGAGGGGCCGGCGCCGAGGCGCGGACGACTTCGGGGCCCGGCAGGGCGGCCGGGGCCACAGCGGAGGAGGAGAAGAGGTGGCGGGCGGCGGCTGCTGGCTTGGGGCCAGAGGGGGCCGGGAATTTGCCCGGTCTGAGGCGTGTCTTGTCTCCTGTGGTGGAGCTGCCCCCCTGGGCCTGCGATCTGCGGCCAGCTCACACACAATGCCCCCGGGGAGCGCTTTGCTGCTCAGCCCTCTGGCAGAGAGGGAGGGAAAAGCGTGTATCCTCAGCTGGGTTCTGCCGGGCGCTGGGCGCTTCCGTGCAGGCCTGGGCACTGCAGGAACCAGCCGGCCTCGCCCTGCAATCCGGCGCAACCACCAGTGGTTACCTTTCTCCTTACACGACAATCTTAAAGCAAATAATAATCATAAAATAGTAAGTTCTGAGACAGACATGTGAGCAAGGTGAAAAGCTGTAACTGCTTCATTTAGAACCGTACGGTTTAAACCCACCTCTAATCTCAGTAAAGCATTAGAATTGAGTACCTGTCATAAGAGCCCCAAATGGGAACAGGCGTCTCTCAAAACAATATAGGCAATTCCCAATTTGTGAATAACCAGTGCTCCACTCTGCAATTGTTTGCAACTCTATAGAAACTAGGTTATAATTAGTTGTTTTGCTCAAGCGGGTCCACAAACCTATGAAACTCAAAATGTGCTCAAGTATTCAAGAAACTGAATACTAAGTAAGTTCCAAAATTTCCGGTGACAGGTGGATACAACTCAATGAATCACATTCCTTATTTTTAAGGGATTCAATTTATAGACTAACTGGATTATTGCAAAGTAAATTAAGGAAAAGATGCTGATGCCAGAATCTGATGGGGGAGAATGGTGGTAGCAAGAATATTTTTTAACAGGGTTCCAGAAAAGAAGGAAGAGAGAAAAGGACAGAATAGAAGAGGAAAGGAAAAAAAATATATATATATATAGGGGGATGATCCAACCAAAAGCTATCAAAAATGGCCATGGAAGTTATCTGTGCATAGCAATGAACTTTCACCTTATGGTTAATGGAGATGCCACTAATCTTTCAAATAGGAGGTAGAAACGATGGATATAATTTCTAAGTTGAAAGAGGATTTGAAACAACAGAATTACTAAACTGATCACTGCCAAAATTACTGATTTGTATTTAAATATACTTACAATAATATGTTAAGAATTATATGCCATAAGATGAACATTACATTATTTCTAAATATAGCAGCACAAACTTAGTAAAACTGCTTCTATCCATTATTTTTGTCAGTAGTGTGCATATGAAAATATTATTGCAAAAATAAGATGTATATGAAAATAAAATGAAAAAAAAACCTTGATAGAGGAAAAATTATGGAACTGATAAAATTTAGAAGAATTATGGGGCTATAGTAATCCTTAAGAGAATATAGAAAACTATGTAAGCTCTTTTTTTTTTTTAGATTATTTATTTATTTATTCGACAGAGAGAGAGACACAGTGAGAGAGGGAACACAAGCAGGGGGAGTGAAAGGGAGAAGCAGACTTCCCGTGGAGCAGGGAGCCCGATGTAGGGCTCCATCCCAGGACCCTGGGATCATGACCTGAGCCGAAGGCAGACACTTAACGACTGAGCCACCCAGGCGCCCCTGTAAGCTCTTAATTAGAAAAAAAATATAATACTCACCTGTGCTTTCTTTTAAGAATGGGAGTTTCTAAACAGTAAAATTATTTGCTTGCTAAAAAAGTCTCAAAGGACATAGATTGTTCTTTCCTGACTTAACATGCATTGTCCTTTAAGCCACTTACTCAAGAGAAAGCTAAGAATTCTCTTTTAATAAATCTGACAGTTTTATAAATTAAAAAGTAAAATATACCCACCATGGACGGGGCTGGCAGGGCCCCCGGTGTGGATCCTGACCAGAATTAAATCAATGACTGCCTTCCATTAAATAAAAATTAAAAAATAAAAAACAAAATAATATGAACTCCAAAGGGCCATTTGCACACTGTGTTTAGGAAACGCTAACCTTCACTAAGGTTATGAAATTTAGAGTAAAAGAGCAGAAAAATGCAAGTAAGTCATTTAGAGTACTTATTTTTGCTATTTCCCTGTAACTACTACTACTTCTTTTTTTATTAAGAGGATTTTTCTTATTTAGCTTTTTTGTTTCCTCCTCTATATGTTCAATGCCTACTCTCTAATTATTGAACTTAAATTTAATTTTAAAAAAGTATTCTCCCTCCTGTCTTAGGTAAGAAAAAAGATAAGCAGATGGGTTATGATCACTGTGCTTCTTAATACAATGCTCTAAACCAACATTTTTGTAAATACTGTAGTTGAGAAAAGCTGGGTCAGCAAATTGGAGTGGAGCTGCTTTTTGCCTTACAAGTCATGCATCTATTTTAGTATTTCTCAAAACCAACTCTGATTGACAGCTGTTGAGTTAATTGCCTCCTTTCTCCCATCCTCCAAAAATTTTTTTTCTTTCCATACATGGTAGCTGTTATACATTTCTACATGCTTGCTTGAGAAAAAGGCCCTATGATATATATAGTTTCCTGTATCCATAGTTTTCTAAGATCTTTTATTGTCATACTGTACTCATTTGACTCTCATTTCTCCATTTTGAATCACGTTTCTTACAAAATGAGTCATGCAGTAAGGTAATTTATGGCACATTTACATTGGGACAAGTCATCCTATATCCAAAATCTCTCTGTTTCTTCTCTCCTTAAAACATCCTATAATATCTCACCAAATGAATTTTGGTTAACAACTTCATCAAGTTCAATTATATAGCAATGTTGAACTCCTTAGCCTGGAAGTTATGGCTAATCTGGATGTGCTGGGTGTTTCTCTACTTACCTTCCCATTTTTACCCTGCTGGTCTAGTCACTTTCCTACCAAGAGTCACTGAGTACTTCTGCCTTGGAGTTTTGTTATAATGTACCTTCTGTGGACTGAACTGTGTTCTCCCAAAATTCCTACATCGAAGCACTAATTACTAATGTGATGGTGTTTGGAATGAGCCTTTAGGAGGTAATTTGGTTTAGGGGAGGTTATGAAGGTGAGGCTGTCCTGATGAGTTAAGTGTCCGTAGAAGAAAAGACATCAGAAAACTTGATGTTCTCTCTCTCTCTCTTTCTCTCTCTCTGCTATATGAGTATACAGCCGGAAGGTAGCCATCTGCAAGCCAGGAAGAGATCCCTCACTGGCAAACTGGATCAACCAGCACCTTGATCTTGGACTTCCCAGCCTCCAGAACTATGGAAAATAAATTCCTGTTGTCTATACAGTATCTTTTTTTTCTCTCCTCACATATCTGGATTGTAAAGAATCGACCAAGACAGAGTTTATACTCTACCATTTATACATGAGTTTATATTCATACCATTTGTCTTAGATCCCCTGAATTCAAAGTATTTTTCCCCTCTTTTAAACACTGATAAAGTAGTGCCTGTTCCAGTAATTTGATGCTGAGGTCCTTCCCTGTGTTAATATTTCTTGTGCAAGTGGATCTGCAAACAGGATGTGAATTCCTAAATATATCTATTTATATATAGAGAGATGGATATATAGAGAGAGAGGGAGAATGGGAGAGATAGGGAGAGAAAGAAAGTGAGTGATACAAATATTTCTTGAATGACTAGGATGTTGAACAAATTTATGACTTATTTTCTTATATAATCTTAAAGGAAGATTTTACCAAGTAAAACTGCTAACCATTTAATAGTCAATAAAGTTAATCTATATTATCTAGCAGACTGAGCTAACAGAAACTCACAAAGAAAGGTTTGTAGCATGCTGAAATTATTCAGACTGAAACAAGAAGGTTGGCACTGCCTTGTTAATGACTTGTCTTAATATATCGTGGGTCTTGGGGGTGCTTGGGTGGCTTAGTTGGTGGAGCATCCGACTCTTGGTTTCAGCTCAGATCATGATCTCGGGGTTGTGAGATCGAGCCCCCTCACAGGCTCCGGACTTAGCAGGGAGTTTGAGATTCTCTTCTTCGCCCTCTCCCTCTGCCCCTCCCCTGTGGTCTCACTCTCTCTCTCTCTCTCAAATAAATAAATCTTGTAGAAAATATATAGTGGGTCTTTATAAAATAGATTTTTAAATATGTAATAAGAAGGATGGGTTTTGGAGTTAGACAGACCTGGATTTGATAAATATTGTAACTCTCCCACCCCAGAGTATTGGCCTTGGACAGCCTCCTAACAACACAGTTTCCTCAAAGCCACAGTTTCCTCATTTATACAATGAGAATAAAATAGTATCTAACTCATGGGGTTCTTGTGAGGATCTCTGAATATCTTAAAATAGAGTCAGCCAGCAAGGAGTACTCATAACAGTTGATATTATTATTCTGTAGTTGTTTTATTTTATGAGATAGCCATTTATAAAATAAGTTCTCCTGAATAGCCAGTGCTATTTAAAATCCTCATTTGGGCTATTTGCTGAAGGAGCCACCCTAAATATAATATGCAGCCCCTTTGAAGATATGATTCTTCTTTCTTGATAGTTCTCATTAAGTGTTTCGGTTTTAAAAATCCATATTTTGTAAGCCCCATGTGCTGAAGACTTTGGTTAATAACATTCTGAGCTTGGTGTTTGCTAATATTCTCTCTAAAGCCCAAGCTGAACATGGTTTATTTTCTAGGAGCAGATTTATTAGGGCAATGAAGAACATGTATTGATGCTTGGTAGCATGAATATGTCTTTATTGGAATAATTACTACAGAGTTAGGAATTGGGAATGTCGATCGCATTTATTTAGTCTTTTGATATGGACAAAAATATTAAAAGTCATCAAACACTAGCATTGCCCTTTGACAGCATCATTTAATTCTAGCTACAGGGAAAATTGTGACAAATAAAAGCTGCATGACTTATTTGTCTTAATTAGGATACTTTCTAAAGTGGGGGAAACACCCTCTTTCCTTCAAATGTTATAAAAGCACTAGCCAGATTAATAAAAGAGGGAAAAAACATTATAGATTAACAAAAAGTAATGTAGATAAGAGCAAAAGGTATCTACACAGGATACTTGACCAAAGTAAGAGTCCAAAATAGACTTTTTTTTTTTTTAATAG